TCCTTTCTCTTTCGTTGTGGAGCAAGTATGTCTTGGTTTCAGTTTATCTCTCCTTGATGTTYTCATTGCCCTCTATCCTGAGGCACAGTGGGGAGATGCCATTTAGTTTTCTGGGTAAAACATATTCTGTTTCACAGAATTTTCAGTTGAAAGTGTTTCAACTGTGCTTCAAATATCCAACTCTAAACAATGACTTATGATGTTTCTTCATACAGTCTGCTGCTGTGAAAGAYATTTTGAAGGACCAGGAAAGCAGAAAAGGCCTGATTGCTGCTATATGTGCAGGTGAGTTAACAAAGTGTCTTGCTTTGTAAGGTATTTGGATATTTTGAAGAAGCATGAAGATGGTTTCCCGTTCTAGAAATCTGTATTCCTGTAATTAAGGAGTGGAGATTTGTTCCTATATATATATATGTATACCTTTCAGCATCTGAATGCTTTGTAAATTTAATAACAGGGAAGTCTCTAAAATAATTGTGAACACTTATCCTKCAAGCTCTGCTTGTTACCCAGTTCCTTCCAATCAGCTTTGTTACTGCCTTTAAAATAAAAAGGGAAAGGTAGTGTGAAAAGTATATGCTTATTCTAGTGATCTTTCTGCAAGTACACAGCACTGGCAGAATGTCATTGCTGTAAATTTATCTCACATAACCACTCCTGCCCTTTAGCTTCAGAAAGAAGGCCAGAAATATAGAATTACAGTCTCACCCTTCCTGAGTTGCAGCAAAAAATGGACTTGATTTGAGGAGAGGGTTATCTGCTTGGGTAATCTGCACAGCTTGGTATCCAGATCATTAACTTTGTAAGATTTGTATTTTAAAAAGCAAGATGAACATTTGCCAATAGTCCAGCTCAAGGTTGGTCAAGGGACCTGAAGCTCAGAGTGAAAGAGATGATGAGTGGGTAAGAGGGAGTCAGTGTGTTCTAGGAGGGGATTTTCACTTTAGTTTCCTGGTACATTGCTGGGTGTTTTTTTGTTGCCTTTCTTCTTTGTTGAGGTTAAACTTGGCAATGATGGTCTTCTGTTTCCTTATCTGTCTCTTGCAGACCAATCCAAATTCACCCTTGCCCAATAAAAGCCTTTGCTTGTAATGAGGATGATTCTTAGAGCTCATTCCAACTGAGCACAGGAGTGGTTATTTCCTGTACTAAATCCAGAAYTAAACAAATGCACAGAGGTGAAACCCAGGCAAATCCTGCTTTCAGTTTCTTTTGGAATTCCCGTAAGGATTTCCTGTCTGATGACCCAGCACTTGACACAAATTCTTTCCTCAATTCAAGCTAAGGAGGAAGTATGAAAAGAGAAACTCWTGAAACCATAAGCCAAACAGTTAGCTCATGATCTGTCCAAAACTGGCACACAACTGCAACATGTAGAGACTTGTTTTAATCTGTTAAGTCTCTAAATTCAAGGTTTAACACAGTTGTAAAGTAATTGTAGGTAGTTAATGTTCAGATTGAAATGCAGCCCCTTTGTTTCTTAGTGTCAAGCAGTTTTAAATAAAATATATTATCTGGCAATAGATTGTTCTCCACTCCTTCAAAGGCAGCACAGTCATGGGTAGGACATCTATGTGAACTGTGAGAGAGAACACAGCTGTGTTCTTTTTGAGGCTTCAGGCCTCAGAGATAGGGCTGGCAGCAGTTTTTATAAAAAGTAATCTGCCCACAGTGAGCTTTGGCCCCAGGAGATCCCAGTGCCCAAATGTCTGTTCTTAGAAGTGTTTGTTGCAGAAGGCAATTCCTCATTGGTGCAACTTTGTGTTGTTACAGGTCCTACTGCCCTTCTGGCACATGGGATAGGGTATGGAAGCAAAGTCACAACTCATCCTTTGGCCAAAGACAAAATGATGAATGGAGGTATGTTTCTGTCCAAACCCATCTCAGATTTTCTCTTTTTTTATTTTTTTTTGTTTTGTTTACCTGAACCCATAATTTAAAGAAAGGAAAAGTGCTTTTTTAATCTTACTTTGTCTTTCTGATTTGAGTCCATAGCCCTAGAAAACAGAGGGCTGTATTAATATTCTCATCCTTGGGCAAATTCTACTGTTGCTGTCATGTTAGGAGCATTTATTGCCTTATCCTCTTGAGGCTGAGCCATCTCTTGCCCTTTTGGTTCTTTGCCTCAGTGGTCTCAAGAGCACAGTCTGGGAGAACCTTTCCTGCTCTCCTGTGAGCAGTGCTTTGGTTCTGTGAGCAGCTCATGGCTCCACTTCTTTATCCTGTCTAAGGGAAGTGATGGTTAAACACTAAGAATTCATTCTGTGAGCATTAATGAGTCTGGCAGTGAGCAGGAGATGGGTTCCCCCAATTCCTTCTGTGTGCATTTGGGGAAAAAAATGTGTGAACAGCTTCACAAAATCAGTCTGACTTCCAAAAGTGACCTCACAGGAGTTGACAGRCTCAGTGAGTGCTTCTTGAGGAGCTTTTAGTCAGAGGGGCATTCCCATACCTTGGGAATGAGGTCCTTGGGAATGAGGTGCTTCCCTCAGGATGGCAGGCAGGGCTGAGCTGCTCAGAGATGGTGCTGAGGGCACATCCTCATGCTCTCTGTGGCAGCTGTGGGCACTGTGCTGCTCAGAGGTGGTGCAGAGGGCACATCCCTGCTCTCTGTGGCAGCTGTGGGCACTGTGCTGGATGCTGACCCTCCTCCTCCTGTTGTGTTCCCCCAAGCACACTACTCCTACTCGGAGAGCCGCGTGGAGAAGGACGGGAATATCCTCACCAGCCGTGGGCCTGGCACCAGCTTCGAGTTTGGGCTGGCCATTGTGGAAACCCTGCTGGGAAAGGAGATGGCTGAACAGGTGAAGGCACCTCTAATACTGTAAGAGTGAAATCCTGGGTGTGTAGGACAAATTTAKATAGAGTGTTACCCTTTGTAGAATAACTGTAATGTGCACTGTTGTAAATACACTTTAATTGTGGGTGAAATTAGCAACTGTACTTACCTGAACTGGGATACCTTAATAAGCCAAAGGTCTTCATTTCTGGAAAAAGGATCCTGTTAGCAAAAACCTTCATCACAAAAAAGAGCCAGCATCTAATAATCCTAATTAGTTCTTGGATGGCATTTAAAAATCACATGGAAAAATGTTTGCTGAGTAAATAAAACTGAAGCATCCCTGCTGGTGTGTTGTTCCTTTGTGTATTTTCTCCCAATCCAGACCCATGAAACCTTTTTATCAACAGGTACTATACAAAATAATGTCTGCTTAGATTCTCACACAGTTCTTCTGAAGTCTGAGCTGAAATGAGAAGGTGGTCAAGCACTGGAATGAGCTCCCTAGGGTGGGTCATGGCCCCAGGCCTGCCAGCATTCAAAAAGTGTTTGGACAACACTTCCCTTGGCTGTATGGTTTTAACTTTTGGGTTGCCCTGCCTGGAGTCAGGAGTTGGTTTTGATGACCTTCATGTCTTCCAGCTCAGAATATTCYCTGATTCTATRACATAGATTATTAAATTGTAACCTAGAATTAGTTAAAACAGTTTTTAATTCCTTGTGTACAAATAACTTGTATTAATTTTCAGACAGTGTGGAACTAAATTAGAAGCGTGAATATTCGTACCTTACTCGTACCTTGTCAAGCACCCCAGAGCAGCCCTGCAGGTTGGACATGACACCTTGAAATTTATCTTCTACCCTAAATTATTGTCGATTCATTGAGGTATTTGGGCAGCTAATAATCAGCATAAAGCAGGAGGTTTGGATTTGGTAGCATGCCACCAGTGCTCGCTTCTGCTTACTGTAAATTGGAAGTTGCTACAAGCCTGGCTTAAGTGAGCCTATGTCAGATTAGAGGAGTTGCACGACAGGTCTCTGGAGGAAGTAGTRGAGCTGTATTCCCATGAGAATTAAGAATTTGGCATGGATTTCTGTCTTTGCTACTTTTATTTCACCAAATAATTGTGCTGACCRGGCTCTGTCAGCAGTCGTGCTTAAGAATAGCACCTCACTGGACTCTGAAGTTACCACAGCATCTGGAGATCTGGTTCTGCATACATCTGAACTTTAGAAAATTACTGCATAGGAGCCTTTATGATTGCTTATTTTAATAGGAAACAAGTTCATTCCCAATTACTGGATTTTGGTAATGAAATACATGGATACTTTTGCAAATTCGAAATTAAGAAATGTCTCTGTTGTTAATATCTACTGGAAGAACTGCTTCAACTGTATGCTCTGTCTCTTAATTTGTTTAGGAAATATTTMATATGTTCCTCTAGCTTTGAAATATGCTCAAGATATGCAAAAGTTGTAATCTATGTAAGATTTGACATGTTTGTGTGGTAAATCTGCACGTCTAACTGGTATTGCCATGCAAATGTAAACCAAATGATGGAAAGATTCTTTGTCTTAGAATCTGGAATAATTACTTGGTTTGTAAATGGGYATGATTCAGAATACAGGAAAAGCTCTGCATTCCTGGGTGGCAATACTGCTGTGTAGCATTAGAAGGGAAATATTTCCATGCTTGTATTGTTTTTAGTCTTGCAGAAATATTTTAATACAAGGCATTAGCAAATAGCCATAAATTTGATTATAAATTTATTTTTTTTTTAATTCCAAGGCTCAAAGAGTTCAATTTASAGAAATGAGGTTTTCAATGTGTATATTTGGGCTTTCCCATTCCCATTAAAATGGTAATAGGAAAAACACTCTGAAAAATGAGCCTAGAGCCCATGGATGTATCTGCTTAACTTGCAGATTGCTCCACTGTGTTCAGCAAAGGAYTTGGTAAATGAAATATGGCAGTGCTGCTTGCATCAYAGTTACCTTCATAGAGCTGACCCTRTTCTCAACCTTTTACATTGCAGATGTCCAGMAAACATGAATTTATTTGGGTTCTCTTTCTGCTGAGGTACCATTAACTTGGTGTTTCAGTTAGGGTAAGAGTATGAACTAAGATTAGGCTAATTTTCCTCTTAGGTTAAATGTTAAGAAGGAATTTGCTGATTGAGGGGAAGAAAAGTTGCTCTCCAGTTAGTGAAATGCTTTTTTTTCCTCACTTTTCAGTATCTCTTTTCCTAAAATCCTCTTTTATCTGCTGCTGAAAGATGAGCTTAGGTACTTTCCTGCTCATTGTTTCATTTACACTGGAAAGCTTGTGCCTTTTTGTTATTGGCAGGCTTYAGTTTTAGAACCTGTGGTGGTAATTTGGTATCTTGCTGCCACTCAGCTTCAATTGAAGCATTTTGTTCCCTGGCAGYTGGAGGGTTTGGGGATTGGTTGCTTTCCTGACAAGAAGGCAGTCGGTTACCATCTGCTGTGTGCCYCAGATCATCTCTCAGGAATAATGGGGTTCTTTTTCTCTTGATTCTGGTTGTTCTGTGCACTTGAATTCATCATTGAGAATGAGTTCTCTTAGGGAATTGAGAAGTATTATGTGGCTTAGGAGCAGGAATGTACACAGGATGGCAGAGATGCTAGTGCCATCAGTGAATACTTGCAGTGATGACAAATATTTTCATTCAGACTGACAGAGCTTCTGAATGAAGAAGAGRTTCTGAACCAGAAGAAACAAAGAACAGGTAAGAGTGAACAGTCTGGTTTTGTTGCAGTTCTTGGCAAGTTTCTTTCCAAAAGGGGAAGGTGAAATGCACAGCACTGCACTGTCAGCAGGAGCTAATCCTATCTCAGGAATATGTCCCTCTGAGCAACAGAGAAAGGATGCTTTTCTAGAGACACAAAGGTTTTACTTTTAAAATGGGTGGAGACAAACAGAGCCATAATGGATCCAAACCAGCCTGCACACTAGTATTTAAAGCTGTAAATGCACACAAGGGAAAATTCTTCATCTAGTAATTACAAACCTTGGACAGCTTGCTAGCCATTTATGTATATGCTTACTACTTGGTATGAAACCCACAGTGASTGTCAGAGCAAAGAATGGTTACTTAATCAGATTATTTTGTTTGTTCTTCCAACGAAAAGATGCATCATGATGCAAGCATAAGCAGTGATCTCCAAATGATAAAAAAGACCTGTCTCCCAGCAGCCTGGATGACCCTTGACTTGGCTGGAAAGGTRAGTATGGGACAGAGAAATAGGAAGGTGCCAGCTACAGAAATACTCACTAGCACTGCATCTATACTGTTATTCATGTTCTCATACTCTACCTCCAGAAGAAAAGATGCATGTCTGTTACATGGGGACTATATTTTAACATGATTCTAAACCTGGCAACAAGGATAATTCCTGCACTGTAGTTTCATTGGAAGCACCGTGGTTCTTAAAGACTCTATTCAGAGCTTCTGCTTCTAGAATTTTGGGTTTTCTGAAAAAACATGGGATGCAGCTTTTGAAGTTAAAAAAATTAACAACAAAACACTGGGCAAATTAATAAATGGTTGCCCAAAATTGTAAATAATCTTTTAGCATGTTTAGAATGTGGTCTTGCATGTGGTATGGAAAGAAAGCAAAATATGTAAAATGAGAGCAGATGTGCCTCCCTGCTGCTCTTATTTGTCAGCTGACAGCCTGGCTCTGACAACATTCCCTAGCTCTGAACTTCCATGGATATGCTACAGTTCTTCCAGCATTGTCACTTGGCAGTTAATCAAAAGCTTTCTGGGACAAACAGCAAAGAGGAACAGGCTGTCCTTGCTGGCACAATTTATCTGGCCATCAGCCTCTTCCTGCCATCTCTTGAGAAGCATCCAAGGAAGGGCAAGGGTGAGGAGCAGGTTGTGGGAATCCTTGCAGTGGTGCTGCCTCACCCACTGGCCCAGCTTCTCCAGTCAGCATCCCATGTGGAAGGGATCCCAGGGCAGATCCTGGATGCTTCCAGGAGCATCTGTGGGCACTGGGCAGAGCTCTGTGGGCACAGCAGGCWCAGCCACACAGCTCAGATGGGAGGGAGGTGAGCCTGGGTCTCTGTATCCTCAGTACACTCACACTATGTTAYCATTTCAGACTAGGCAGCTTTTCTGGCTTGTCTTTCTAGGGCCACACTTTRGGAAGCAGTGCTGATACATTTGATGGGCTCCAGAACCAAATTCAGACCTGTGAAAACCATCTTCTCATGTTTTAGATAACTCAATTCTTCCACATTGCCGAGGTGCTTTGATGGCTGCTCTGGGTGTGCAGCAGTTAGGGGTTTTTCTGTGTCACCCTCAGTCTCTACAGGATTGTTCTGTGTGCTAGAAAGCATCACAGATTGAGAGGATGAGAGGAAATTTTAATACTCAGGCTTGTTCGTTTGCTTTACTTCATTCAACAGCTTCTAATTATACCCTTTGTACAACCTTAAATAATTCCTCCCTGCATAGGGTTTATGGCCCTTCGAGTCATGTAGATAATTCTCTACTTTTACAATTCAATTCAAGGCCATTCCAGTAATGGTAGAGGAAGGAAGAAGTAAAGTTGTCTGAAGATCTCATACAAACACTCATATTCTAGAGAGAAGAATTGGGTCGAGTGAGACTTGGTGACACTGAAGTCTTCCTCAGCTGATGGAAGTTTCTCAGCAGGACTAGGGACATTTCTGTGCAAATCCTTCTGATTTCTAAATATTGATTGAGTAATTATTTTTACAGCTTACAGTGGCAGCATCTCTGAGCCACAATCAGAACTTGCCAGCAGTTTAGGTGTGTGCTTGGTTCAGAAAGAGCTCTAAAGCTCTTCACAGAGCCATCCTTTCTCCTCATTGATGGTTATGGTAGAATTTCCTCTGGGATTCTCACTGTTCCTTGCAATCTTTTAGAGCTGCTGTTCAGAATCAAAGGAATGCTCTGAATTCAAAAGGCAGTGTTTCTGCAGCTGTTTTTCCAATTAAAATCCTGCCTGCTTTGTGTTGAAGAGAGTATTTCTTCCACTGTTAGCTGACTATGACCCCAGATGCTTGGAGATCTTTGTTTTTCAGCAGAGTATAAATTGAAAGTGTAATTTTGTAACTTAATCCATACAGTCTTTTAGCAAATAGAACTTTACTTTATTCTGTGGTTTTATTTGCTGTTCAAGACTTAGTGAAAAGCAATGTGATTCGTTTCTAAGCATCAGTGATGTTCYCCATTGAGAGCTGTCCTGTGTTCTGACCAGGAATTCCCTGAGTCAGTTTTCAGCGTTTTGATAGGAACTTTCAGAGCTTTTGTTTTTGCAGTTTAGGGTTTTCTGAATTTCTTTACTGTGAAGAGGCATATTTTTGTTGASATTTTTGCAGTTACAGCTCTTCCTTAAAGTTTGGTTTCTCTGTGCTAAGTTTCAATGASTTATGCTGTCAGACTGGTCTCTGTCATTTCAGAACCACTTTTTAAGTTGCACACATTCTGCTCCAAGTACTGTCAACTCTGGGAGCTGCTTACATTGAAAATGAAATACATTGAAATTGAAATACATTGAAATATTTTCAAGTGATAATGAGTTCTCCTAAAAAAGCACTGCTTACTTCCACATACATGCAACTCTAGTCTGAGTCTTGTATTTTCTCCTGTACTRTTTTGTATATAGCTTGGGAAAAGCACTCTCACAGGGAAGTCACCAGCTAGGCAAGATAGTGACTGGCAGATAGGCAGGAAGCARTTGCTACCTTGGGTGCTGATGAGTCTGATCGCTGATGGGCACAGCACTGTTATTTGCATTTTTCACAGGAAATCAGCTTTTGGGTGCAGTCTTTCAGAGAACTGGCAACAGATGATGCGTTTATCTCTGCTGACTTTACTCATGACCACATCTGATATATTACTCAGTCGTTCTTCCAYGGCAAAGGAGTACTTTAACTTCCTTTTATGTAAAAGGTAAATKAATGCATGTGCTAGGAAACTAGGAATAATGCAGCTCTAAGCTCCTGGATGGGCTCACAGAGACACAAGCTTTGCTGGCAACTTTCAGATAAATCCCTTTCAGTAAATTGTTTTTTTTTTTTCCTCTTTCCTCTTTAGAAAACTACATAGCATTAACAACTTTAATCATAATTTCAAAAAGAAAGAAAGGGCACTGAGGGTGACATTCCTGGCTGGTGCCCAGTGATGGTTCTGTCCCAATTACCCATAATGAGGAGAACTGATGAAGCCTGTCCTCCTCTGTCCTGTCCTCCCCTACCCTCCCCTCTCCTCCCCTCCCCTCCCTTGCCTTTGCTCTCCACAGCCATTTCCACAGGTCATGAAGARCACTTGTGGGTTTTGGCCTCTCTAGATTTGGATCTTGGCCACTTGTGCATGACTTTGCACAGAGCCTCTCGGGGCAATATTCACTCTCCTCAAATCCTCCAGAGCTGCAGCCAGTGAGCCCACCTGCCTCCTGTKGAGCTGCTGGAGAAAGCCAGGGTTCTGCATTGTGGGTTGCATTGGTTGCTCCCTCGCACGTGACTGGCYCAGCATAAAGCTCAGGTATTAAATTGTGAACTGCTTGTAAAACAGCTGCCTTACTCATCGTGCTGCTGCAGGGCATGCAATAGCCTCCTGTCTTATCGTGGAGACTGCTTTTGATGGAGTTGGCCCAATTAAGCTCAGATGATGGGAGAAGCGTGGCCGGCGAGAGGCAGCAYGTCCAGAGCACCCTGCAATGGCCTGGGARGTGKCAGCAGCCYGAGAGCTGAGGAACCTCGAGCTCTCTTGTGTTGCATCACCTCCAGCTCAGGTCAGACTGCTGGCTCTGCTGCTGGCTTTGTCTTACTGGAGAGCTCTGCTCCTCCAGTGGAAAGGTGGAGTGATGGAATCCTTGGCTATTCCCGTGGAACAACATTGTGTGTTGCATCCAGCACTGGCCATTGTATGACTGGTAAAACCTACAGATGAAAATGTCCTCACAGTCTCCTCACACATGCACCTCACATATAAAAGAGTTTAGACCATCAGTTTTTAACAAAACACTAGCACTAAATCATGTAACTTGAGTTCAGGAACTAACCAGTTTGTCCTTCCTCCAGGTTTGTCCTTCTTCAGAGCTCCATGGCAGTTCTCCCTCAGCCCCTGTAWAAGGCAGGACCTTGCTGGCATTCACCTCACTGCCATCCATTTTTAAGTGTTTTAGATGGGGTTGTGTGTCCCCATGGCTTTTAACAAAGAAACTACTTCAGTTCATTGGGGTTTTTTTCACCATGATGAGAGCTTACTCTGAAAACACAACCCTCCCTGCCACTAGCAATTGAATCCCATGAGCAACAGAATGTGTCAGGGTATGTAACCTCACCCCTGGCCTGCGTTGTTGGAGGCCTCTCATTGCCACRTGYCTACTGCTGTGCTGGTGCTGTGTCSATTCTGCATCACAGCAGCCCAGTCCCAATTCCAATTGCTAAAGCTCAAAGTGCTGGGGTGTGCAACTGGGATGCAGGAAAACTTTTCTTGAATAACTTATCAGCATGACATGGGGGAAATGAAGTCACCTAATGTGGTTCTTTCCTCTGGGCCTTGCTTAACAGTCAGTGAATGACAATACAGGGATTGTAAGGCAATGAGTAACCTGTCAAAGCCCCACTTGCCATTCACTGGTGTCTCCTTTGCACCTTGGAGCARCTGGACTGGGCATGAGCTGCTGTGACCCTTTTGTTGAACTTCCCTGAAGCTGGTAAGTTCCTGCAGAGCCTTATGCCTCACCATCGGGTCGGTTGTGTTTCAGTTCCCTTCCATAATGCACTCAGTAGTGCTGACCCTGCCCTTGAAGTGGTTGTGAAAATAATAAACACATGAACAAAGGTAAAATAACTATTTTAGGTAAGAAGAACATGTCTCTGTCACTGGGGTAGGTGGGCAGGGGAGCATTCTGTGTCAGGCCTGATCCAGACATTTGGTGTGTGGAGGGCTTCTTAGTATGACATCATGATAGCTCAATGTGATTAGTAATTAGCAGATTAGTAATGAGCAGATTCAGGGTGGGAATGGTGGGATAATCTGGCATGGTTTTCCTTCCGGTGTTTCATGGCATCGTATTTGCACTTTTCTTCCTTTGTGGCTTTCACATGTTAATCATTTGTGGAYGACAGTTTTAATCTTCAAAAGAAGCATCTCTTCCTCTGAATCACTTTGTACAGAAATGAATAGCAGTCATGGTTCCCATGTTTCAGTGGCATGCCACTTAAAATTTGGAATACCTAACACCTTTTCCAAAATTAACCACAACTGGGATCAAGGTGCACACCAATATATAAATAATATAGCAACAGTCTATGAGCAATCACGGGTGTGGCTTCCATTTATGATTCAGAAAAWATAATGAGCTCTGTGGATGAAAATAGGCATTTGGGTGTGGATTATGCAAGGCCTGAATTACGATGCAGGATGGGTGGGGGTAACACCTCTTTCAGTTTACAAATGCTAATCACAAGCTCAGCAGCCAGAAATTTCTGCAGTGCTATTTAACGAATATTAATAAGTATAATTAAACATTGTGTGCTAGATTTTCAGTGCCAGGAAGCTGTATGAAACAGAACGTTTACCGCATGTTTTCAGTTTTAAATGAATATAAACGGTTCTGGAAAGCAGGCTGACAGGAAATGAGGAGATTAGCCTACTTTAAAAACAAAAGTTTACCCCAGGAACATTGAGTACACCCAGAGAACATCAATAGGTTACCTAACTGCAGAGTGCCTACAAGYAGATAAAATGAGGGTTTACCTTCATCTCCAATTTCCTTCTTGACWTAATCCAGAGAGTATGTATTTAACATACAGCTTGTAATAATATTAAAAGTGTTTATAAGGGCCACAGTCTGTAATCATGASTTTGAAGTGTGGGAATTCCACCATGACTGATCTGGCCATCATCTTAACCCTGAATTCTTGACAAGACATGGTTTGAACACCATCCCCAACTACTCTACTGTAATAACTGCCCTTGCTAAATCGGTGACTTTGTCCTGGATTAGAAGGATGCTTTCCATTATCATGTTAAACTTAACACTTCAGTGGGACTTTTTAAAAACAAAACCAAGGCTGCAGCAGGAGTAAATGTAGTGTTGGTGAGTGCTCTTCCGCAGTTTCAGGATAATAATTGTGCCTATTGCAGTCTGGGAGTGAATGGAAAACTCTTAATGACAGCAACAACAATCAGTACTTTTAAATGACTACAGATTTTAATTATGTCGTCAATCGGCATACTTCCAAATCAGGTTTATTTTCTGGTTTCTCTCTTGTGATGCAAAAGAAGCTGTTCATCAGCTACAGCTCTGTGTCATTTACTGACTTTATCTGTTTAACAGCAAGTTAATATRGTGAAGTTAAGCTAATGGGTTTTTCAAGTCACCTGGTCACACAGCCTCTTCTTTTCAGGAAAAGGGACAGTGAGACAAAAGTCCTTTCCTTTCATTACCAGCCAGACCCAGCTCCTCTGGGTTGATTTGTCAGTCTGAAGCTCACCAAGGGAAGGGTGTTCTGCCAACAGCAGCGCTGCCTTTCCATACATGCACATCTTTCTTCTCTGCTTTAACACCATTCCTTGACTCTCCAAACTTCAGCTTATCAAGTTGTAACTGCTTTGAAGTGCTGTTATTCCAGTCAAATCTAGCTGGCAAGGGGCTTCCTTCTCCTAGGCAAGCTGTCAGGCYTTGCCCAGGTGAGTCCAAACTCTAAATATTCAAACATGTGATCAGGCTGTTGCAAAAGCATGTTGTGTCCTGACAAGTCTTATCATGTGCCAGGGGATGAGMAGAGAAATGTCTTCTGGCCAGAACTTGCAAAGCTTCCCCCACAGCTCTACAGCCTTAATTAATTACTTGGAAAATGAAATAAAATTTTGCATCATGCAGACTTTGTTTCCCAAAGCACAGGAATCTGGTGTCTAAGAATATATGCAAGGTTTCCATCTGCTTTTGTCAGTGACCCCTTCACTGAATTGTGGACCAAGTCCTCAGGGAGACCTCGTTACTACTGAATTTTAAAGATAAAATGGCCCAGTCACTTAAACACTGTAGGAATGACTTACTTTCCTTGTACTCAAGAGGCACGAGAGCTCTGTAACCTGCTCACAGCCAAAAAATTCCTTGCTTAACTTCTGAAATGTTAACTTCACATTGTGTTGTAATTCAGCTGACAGCACACAATAGGAAAGCCAGCATTGCTACAGTAATATTTTTGTTGTTTTTAATACTCGGGACTGAGTAGTCAATACCAATACTCCCAGGAAAGGAGTCTGAATTTATTTTTTTTCTAGGAAAAAATCCAAATGGAGGTTAAGTCTTAAATGTTTCAGGAATTTCAGAAAAGGTTATGTAAGACCATTCAAAAGCACAAGTTTTATAACAATTTTCAGATTTTTAGCACTTTAAATATGATTATAGTTTGTATGCAGAAGCAGTTCAAGTAAAAAACCTTCTGCTGGCACAACAGCAGTTTTTTAGGGAATGTTTGCTCCTAACAGAAGTGACAATGCATGCTGGCATGCAGGGCTGTAACTGTAAAAAGTACCCTGTATTTTATATTAGATGTGTTTAGGCTAAAATTGGGGGTGTTGAAGTATAAGGAATGGAGTTGGACCCAGAGGCAAAATCCAGGAGATATTTGCAGGGCAGTTGCTTGGGTTTAGATGGAGTTCTGGAGTTACAACTCCTGAGTYTGTGCCAGCTCTAACAGTCTACAAGGGAAGAGCTGCAGCTTGGCAGTGTCCATCTGTTTGCTGCAGCAGTGATGGTGTAACTGAGGCTTATTTTGGGGTCCTAGAGTTGCAACCTCCCCTTAAATATGTGCAGTTTTAAGTATAACTGTTACCTTTTCAATCTTAGAAAAATCCAGGGGTTGGAGGGAAAGCAAAGCTTTCAGTAGGTTGAATATGAGAGTTGACAGCCTTGCACAGGATTAGGTAACTTGTTTATGTTTTAAAGCCAACCTGCAGGGGCTCTCAGTGCTATGGCACTGCAGTAGGTGTTCAAGCACCTTCCTAAATGAAGCTTAGCAATCCACC